CCCCAGAGCGAAGGCAAAGCGAACACACAAACCCAAACCCACCCACCTCTCCTCTCAAGCCTTCGTCTGCCACCGACGCGACCCAAAAACCCCAAGCCCCCAACCCTAGCGAGTACTGAAAGAGGAGGAGGCGGCGGCAACCCCGTCGGCCGGAGGGGAGATGGTGTTCTTCGCGCTGCTCGTGGGGGCAGAGCTCGACGGCCTCACCAACCTGCAGCCCCGCGGCGGCTGCGACGACCCCAGCTACCCTTACTACTTCAAGGTTCGCTTCCTGACTCCGCCTACTCTCTGATCGCTTTCCTTACGCCACATCTCTCCCCGATTCGGATGATTCTGACGGCGATTGCGTATCTGCGTCGGATCGATCGCAGCTGCGGTGCGAGAGCTGCGGGGAGACGAGCGCCAAGACCACCTGCGTCTCCCTCGACGAGGTCGTCCAACTGCCCACCGGCAAAGGCACCGCCAATCTCCTCCAGAAGGTGCCACCTTCTGTCACCGCATGCCTCCTCTGGACTCATTCATATGCGCCCTTTAGCTTTCTGTCTGTGGGAAATACTTTTTGTGTCGTCGATGAGACTGGAAATGCGGGTTTCTGCATTGATAGGATCGGTCGGCTTGTTCCTGTGTTGTGTGTACTGTTCGCAGAATAGGGTTGAAATTTCCGCGTGGGATTTGGTAGTCTGTTCTCTGTTTACCCCGTTTGATGCCAGGTGTCATTAATACGGGGATTGAACTGTTTTTTAACCAAAATGGGGATCGAATTGTGTGGTGGAGGATCAGTTTGTGTTCGAAGTTAAGAACATAGGTGTGTCATCTTCTACGATTGGCATACATGTCCAGGAATCTTGTTACTGTGTGACGTTGGGTTAAGCTCTTCTAAGTCTATGCTATTGTGTGGTGATAATTTTGGTTTCATGTGATTTTGCAAGTGAAGTCCAAACAAATTATATATATAATATGTGTTCTGTCTGCTTGTTTATGTGGTAGTAGTTTAAATTATCTTATGAGGTCTTCAACGACGCATATAGCATGTTCATATTGTGATTTGGATTTTAACAAAAGGATGCCCATCTTTTGGATGAAAAAAATCCAAGGTGGACCGATGGCATCAAGCTGTCATTTTGACTTATTTTGGGAGGACTGTTTACTTTGCTTATGCTAGAGAACTTTGACTGTCTTGTAACTCTTGTTTCTAGCCTGCAACACTGCATGTGTTGTCTGAGGCTTTGTTATTGCTGGCACTGTTTCTGCCACTCCCTTTTTTTTTTGAATAATGAGTACTGAACAATTGAGCACAGGGTGATCTTATTTTGTTTTTTATTTTCTTAATGGAAGTTTAGTTTTCAAGCTGATATCTTTATTTAAACAGCAGGGACATAATATATTTGCTTACAGTACCAACTGCTTACAATTCTCCATTGCTATCACTAAACGTGTCTGGGATAGACAGATTTACTTGATTTCTGTGGGTAATGGGTATTATTAATATATGGTTTCCTTTTGTTTATTTATTATGGACCTTCATTGAACCAGTTATTTAGTGGATAAACATAGGTCTCTCCCGGTTGGCTAGAATTGACATTAGGAACCATCAGGACGTTTTAAAAGCAGACAGCTAGCTCACTGTCCTTCAGTCTTTGATCCAAAGAGAGTACTCCCTCCGATCCATATTACTTTATGCAGCTTTAGTACAACTTTATGTGCTAAGTGATTTAAAAGGACACACTATGCATCTCAAAGACCCTAGGGCAATGAGCTTCACCAAATATAAAGGATTTCAAACTGCTGGTAGAACACCCTTCTCTTTGGTGTCATTACACCTGCACCTTGCTAGAGAAGTACTTATATTGTGCTTCAGTGTTGCAAGATCTCATTACTCTGTTGCACATTTGTTTTGTTGGAAGCTTCAGCATCTCTTATTTTTGACTTTTAAGGGACTTCATAGGATCCATAATACTACTTTGTCAAATAGGCACTTCTATTGCAAACCATTTTATGATTTATATAATTTAAATCTAAATGTTTTATTAGCTGATGGTAGATTATATTGCTTAGTGACTTTTGAAAGGCCCCTGCCTGTGTTTTCCCTAGATCTTTCCAGGGAATGTGTACAGGAGCAAAAAATTTCCTCCAGTACATACTTTTGTGATGTCGTTATATGTCTTATCAGTACGGTGTTCTGGTTTTCTTTCAGTGCAAGTTATGTTCGAGGGAGGGATCAGTTGTGATGATTCCTGGGCAGGGAACACCACTGACTGCTGAGCAGAGCCAGAAAGGAGAGATGACTTGTTTGATGGTCTTTGAATGCAGAGGCTATGAACCTATTGAGTTCGCTTTTGGTAATGGCTGGAAGGCTGAATCTGTAAGTATTTATTGATCTCTCACCACATCCACGAGTATTCACATTATAAAAGAATGTGCTGGATTTTTGTTTGCAGTCAGCTTACTATATTGATTTGTAACTACTCCCTCCGTTCCAAATTACTTGACCCATATTTATCTAGACACGGATGTATCTAGACACTAAACAAGTATAGATACATCCATATTTAGACAAATTCAAGTCAACTAATTTGGAACGGAGGGAGTAGTAATCAATCTTGCCCAGACAATTTATGTGCTAGAAGCCTAGAACTGAGCTCTAATATTGCATTTGTTCAATGCGAGCTTGACTCATTGGTTTCACTGTTATATACCTGCTGATGAATTCATGGTTGCTTCTATGTATTATTGGTTTTTGCATCATTTTGCTTATGAATTAATATCATGTGTGTCATTGAACAAAAAAGAACTAATATAATGTGTTTACATTACAATGATACCTCTGTTTATATTGCATCTGAGAACACAGATATTCCTACTAGTTTATTCATTGCCTGTCTTCTTTTCCATGAACAGAAAACAATATGCCTTGTTTTTTGACAAACAAATCTGTGATTTCTGTATGTGTTCTTCCTGGGCTCTTTCAAAATATGTGTTTCTTCATCCCACATAGTATATTTAAGAGAAAGTAATTAAGTTCTTCTATGCTCCACCCAAATCGAAAGGCACAACTTGTAATCAAACTAAGAGCTTGAGTTGCAGTTACCCAGTACCACTACCCTTATGTACTGCAGATATGTGGATTTTAGTTTATCAAATGAAGCAAGCATTGCTTGATAGCTACTCCCTCCATTCCTAAATATAAGTCTTTTTAGAGATTTCACTACAAACTACATACGGATGTATACAGACATCTTTTAGAGTGTGGATTCACTCATTTTGCTCTGTATGTAGTCCATAGTGGAATCTCTAGAAAGACTTATATTTAGGAACGGAGGAAGTATATTTGAGAATCTATGTGTTCCTCACTCTTGCAGCATGATGCTTGTTATGGTTTATTGGTGTTCTAATAATCTCCCTCTTCTTTAAGGTACATGGGACACCATTTGACATTGATCTTTCCGAAGGAGAGTTTGATGAGTATGATGAGAAGGGAGAGTGCCCTGTTGCTCTATCCAAGCTGCAGTCAACATTCAAAGTGGTATAGAAACACTCATTTGCTAAACTACCAGAGGTTAATTTAGCTGGAAAGTGTATCAATCAATTCTTGACATATTTGTACACGATGAATTCACAGGTGAAGAAGCAGGGTTTTCATGGGAAGACCAGATATGTCTAAGATCCAGTTTCTCTTGGGCTCTTCAAGCATTGGAGTCAGAGATGTATAAAGCGCATCTACAAGGTCGAATCCTCAATGTTGATTTTGTATTCGAACTAAGTTCGTGCCCATGATTAGGTGGATTTGCCATGAATTTGGTTAAGCTTGCAGTGATGTGGCCTCCTGTTTGGAAAAAAATGAATATTCTGCCTATCAGTGGTTTCAAACTTAGATCTATGGCTCTACCATATCAATCATAAAATTATGCCACTCTAGATTTTGCCGATTTTTCTTATGCCACTCTAGATTTTGACATTTCACTTTTGCCACTCTTAGATTTTGACAATTATCACAATTGCCATTCTGTGGCAAAAGCAAAATAATTTTATTTTATTTTTGCCACTCTTAGCTTTTGACAATTATCACAATTGCCACTCTCAACATTTTGCTTTTGCCACGGGAATGGCAATTGTGATAATTGTCAAAAACTAAGAATGGCAAAAGTGAAATGTCAAAATCTAGAGTGGCAAAAACAAAAATTTCCCTAAAATTATGTGGCTGAAGTTCACTTCTTTTTTCTTATAACTAAAATTTGATATTTGGTGCTCTTGTTATCATAGATCTAAATACCGGACATGTGCACTGTTCAAATCTGATCACTTTACGCACACACATCTGGATTTATTTATTTTTAAATTGGAAGCGTTGCCGCTTTATTTAATCATACTTGGTTACATCCTAGTTCAAAACATCAAAAAATAACCCTCCTTTGCTAAGATATGTGCTACTCTTTGCCGAACACGCACACACTGAACCTTGTAGGCTTCTCTTGACTAAACCCGTGGCTTCCTGTATCATGGGTCCATACTCCATAGACAGACCGAGGCCTAACTCCACTATCATGGGTCCATAGAGTCATAGACAGACCGAGGCCTAACTCCACGGATAGTTGCATGCACACATGCCTTGGTTTCCCTCTAACTAGGGTTTTCTTCTCCCAGAGGTGATTTTTTCGCCGCCATTGAGTGTTTCACCTTCCCTCCTCTGCAATTGATCCGGGCTGACTCAGGGGTGATCCTCGCATCACTCCCCTGCCTTGATCA